GAGTAATGACCCCCACCCACTCTACCAACCATTTCTCCCTTGGTTAGAGAATCTCCAGCCTTTCTTTGTGCGTTTCTCGCATGAGTTTGCAAAGCATCTCCTCAGCCTTTCTAGTTTTTCTCCCCTCTTTTCTTTCGATTTCCACTCCTCTTCCCAGTGGACTCCCCTTCACATAAGCAGCCCAACCTACGGCGGACTCCTCTTATGGAGTTGATGAGAAATGCTTCAACTGCTCGAGTGATTGTGAACAATTGACGGAAGCTCCACATTCGGTACCAATTTCACCGATACTACCAAGGTAAGGCCATTTATCGCCTTCACCAGAGAGGAAACAGATGGAGAATTTACAAAAGTCCTTCATGTATCCATTATATTCGCATAAAATTCTTGACGTTCGTAACGTACGTTTGTATCGTGTGAATTAATTTCTCTTTTCAACCTGAATGCTTGTTATTTGCCTTACTTTTTGGTCACCAACACTTTTTTTTTCATTTATTTGTCATTTAACTTATTACAATTTTGAGATATAATTTTCTGCATTTAATTTTTTTTTCTAATATTTCATTTTTTCTAATTATATTCTTTAAATTACACCTAATGTAATATATACGGCCAAAAGTTAGTTCTTATTTTGATCATGGTTCAAAATTAGAAAACAAGACAACCAGACACTAATTTCAATCACATTTCAAGTTAGAATCATAATCATGCCTATACATATCCAAATAAAGGTTCCAAGAATCATGATTCATATGATTTAAATTATAAATCATAATTTTGAATCTAAATACCAAAATCACCCTGATTGTAATCCTTATACCAAACGCCACCTAATTGACACATGCATGTTTATTCTCAATTTTCGTATTTTTCTCTCTTTCGTTACATTTTATTTTATGTGATGTTCGCCTCTCTCTCCCTCTCCCTTATGGAGAGATATGATGGTGTAAGCTACATGGTATACATGTGTGTGTAAATACATATATATATTATAACAATATATAGTTTCAATGGTTACTTTGAAATTTATTTATTGGTGGATTTTGGTGTATTAGTCATGTGATATGAATTATCTCTCTCCCTTTTATGGATAGATATTATGGTGTGAGCTACATGGTACACATGTGTGTGTATATATAGTATATAACATAATATATAGTTTCAAGGGTTATCAGACATTTATTCATTGGTGAGTATTGGTGTATTTGTCCTGTGATATGAATTAGATAGTCGTAATAAATTAAATAGTTGAAAAAAAAATTATGATAATTAATGAGCATTAAATTGAGAGAGCTCATAGTACTCTTTTTAATTAATGTTTAAAGTTAAATAATTGATTAGCTTATTATAAAGTTCTATAAAATACCCTACTTTGAAATGTAATTAAGGTGTATACTTATTCGTATATTTTTTATGATAATTAAGAAATGTGACAATCGAAAACTCAACCATTATTATAATTTAGATGAGCAAAAAGTTATTTATGTTTATTTTTTATGTGAATGAGTACTCTAGAGAATGAAAATGATTTGCATGGTATATGATGTCTTTAAAGGACACTTTAAATGTGATTAGAGCACCGAGCATAATCAGTAAGAGGTAACGCTTGTGCTTTTAAAAAATGGATTTCAACACTGATGATATGTTTTAAAGGATATTTTTTTATAAATAGTTCAAGTTTTGTAAAATTATAAAAATGAATGTTTTTATTAACTTAGTGGTCATTGATTGATTGACTCAATGGTTAAAGAATTAATCAATTATTGACTTAGCGATCAATCACTGATTGATTCTAATTTATCACTGATTAACTGGATTATTCTTTATTATTAATCAATATTAATTAATAATTAACTAAAATTAATTAGTAATTAATCAATTTCAATGAACAAATTACATTTTTATCAATGATAAACCATTGAAAAATTAATAATGAATCGGTCAAACTCATGTAAGCAAAACGACCATTTTCATAAAATAAAAAGGAACTTTTTCCGGTACGCCAACATACAGGTAGACCAAATTTTCTATTAATCAGATTTGCATAAAATCACGTAAAAGTTAAAAAGTATGCAGATTCAATAGTTAAAAAAATTTAATCTACTATTACGCTAAACATACCAAAGAATCTATTAAATAAAAAAAGTTTAGCTATTTATGAAAAAAAAAGTGGTTAAGAAAGACAACAAGCACAATTGCCTCTTAAAAAATAACCTTTATTAAGTGCCCTTGCTAAAATGAATTCCTTTTTTTTAAAAAAAAAAAAAAAAGAATCCTTCATCCGTTGTTGAGCTATAAGGAAACAATATGGAAGGCATGCTATTGCCCTAGTGGCGGAGTCAGAAAAAATTTTCAAAAAGGGCGTGAATTAAATTAAAACAACAATACAATAATTTTGATTTAGCTTAATACGCTTTTTAAGTTTATAGTGGATGTATATAATATTATGGTTGATTTTTAGGTTATTTGGTATTTTAAATGTAAAACATATATAAGTAGTCAAACTTTGAGGGGTATAACTGAAACTTTTCTAAAAATATTAATACAAGTATTCAACCCGTTCATTTCGCTGATTCGAGTTTAGAATTCAAGTTTTGCTACAGTAAAAAGCTCTCACAAACAATCACATCTAACTTTTTTTCTACAGTAAAAAGCTCTCACATAAAATCACATCTCAACTCGAATTAAAAACTCGAATCAGCGAACTAAATGGGCCCGAAACTTTTGGGTTGTTCTTTTGTAACGAAACTCAGAAAAAGTTTGAACTCGAGTTACAACTTTATTTAAGTTCATGTTCTTTTGTAAAATTTGAGTTTGAACTCGAGTTTGGGGCTAAACTCGAGTTCAAGTTTCTCCTTCAACTCGAGTTTATAAATTCGAACTCAAGTTAATGAACATTATTTTTTTTATTCTTAAAAATGTTATAATTTTTTTCATTTTAATTTTGATTGAGATGATTTTTTTTCTATGCATTCACAATGAAAAGACGAATAAAACTTCACCCATATACCCAATTAAAATTTTTCATCACCATTGAGTTTTTATTAAAATATTATTTAAATATAAATTTAAGTTTTGACCAATCCAAACACAAACTCAAATAGATTATTAATTCAAATCATAACTCAAATGTGCACATCTAAACACAAACTCAAGTTACAACTTCAACTCAAGTTATAATTTAAACTCAACTCAAAATCATCACTTAAATCACCATAACTCAAAAATACAAAAGAACAGTTCCTTTGTAAAATTTTTTTTTTTGCTGGCTTTGAGTTGTAATGGAGCCGCTTGGGCCATGCCCCCCAGGCCTAACGTGGCTCAACTAAAAGGAGCTCAATTTATTTTTTATATTTGTTCTTGATTCTAAATCATAATTTATAGTTTTTTATAGTGTTTTTTTCTCACAAAAAATATAAGTAAAATAAGAATAATTCTGAATCATAGTTTTAAATTCATGAACTAAACGTTTAATGAGAGTGTAAATTGTTTTTAATGTATTGAGTTTTGAGTTTAGGTCTCATGAGATAAAAAAAAAAAGAAAAAAAAGTTTTACAGTGGCATTGAATGGATTGTCGATGACCTAAAAATGGTCGTCGAGCCATATCAGTAGATACTTCCAACTATGCTATGTTATATCAATCGAGTCAAAGATCTAAAAAGAAAAAAATTATTAACCCAAAAAATCACAAAAAATATATGCTTGCTTCTTTTAATTTGTTTTTCTCTTATTTATTTGGTGAAAGAAACTCTCACACGTGTGATTGCAACTAATGAAAAATAAAACGAAAAAAAAAGAAAAATAAGACCTGTTTGGAATTGATTATGTTTTTATTTTTTATGTTTTTTGAGAAATAAAAAATGAAAACGTTTTCAAAATGACGTTTGGCGTAATAAATATAAAAAATAGAAATGAAAATGATTTTTTGGTTTAATATAAAATGAGAAAGAAATGAAAAACGATTTTTGTTTAGAATTGATCCCGTTTTTTTATTTTTCACGTTTTTTGAGAAAGAAAAAATAATTTTTTTTTAAAATGGCATTTGACGCAATAATATAAAAAATTAAAATAAAAATAATTTTTTGATTTAGTGTAAAATAAGAGTGAAATGAAAAACGACTTTTAGGGCGTGTTTGGATTGATCCAGTTTTTATTTTTCACGTTTTTTAAGAAAAAAATAAAAACGTTTATAAAACGGCGTTTGACGCAATAAAAATAAAAAACAGAAATGAAAATGATTTTTTAGTTTAGTGTAAAATGAGAGAAAAATAAAAAAATGACTTTTAATCATTTTTCATTTTTTATTTTTATTTTCTCATCTCTCTAACAAAGAGAGAGACATTAATAAATTTTTTTATACTAAAAATAATCTCTTAATAAAATTACTAAACACATTTTTAAAAATAATTTATATTTAAAATTAAAAATAATTTTATTTTTATATAAAAATAAAAATATTTTAAAACGAGTTTCCATCCAAAAACAAAAACAGGTGTTCCTGACGATGTTGGTAAGCGTTGTTTATGTTCGGGTCGGGCTTAACGGCTAACAGAAGCATAGTAGTACTCTCCCTGAAAACCCCAATAACGTTCGTTCCTTCCCTTCGCGTGCAAACTACGCGCCTAATTATCTAAAAATCAACCAATAAAAAATTAGGAAAAAAAATACCCACATCGTGTCAAGTTGAACTTGCCCAGTTCCAAATCCAAACTGTGCCAAACCCAAACCCTAACTGCAACGGAATTACCCCCTTTTCACGTCCAAAATCAACAACAACGTGAATGTGAATCCCATAGAAAAACCCCAATTTCCCTCACAATTCTCCTTCTGATTTCTCCAAATGCCCCAATCCGCGGTTGAAGATTGATCCCTCAATCTAGCTTTCGACTCCGGCCATGTCGCTCGACGGCGGCTCCGGCGACTCGTCGGCGGTAGGAAACGGCGCCGCTTCGGTCGACGCGATGCGATCTTCTGTGGCGAGCGGGCCGAACCAGAGGCTGAGGCTGAACCCGAGCAAAGAGCACAAGCCCGAGAGCTACGAGGACCTGCAATTGGATTTCAGTCCGTCGATCTTCAGCTCTCTGGAGAGGTATTTGCCTCCAACGATGCTGAGCGTGCCGAGAGATAATAAGGTCAAGTTCATGAGGGACATTTTGCTCAAGTACTTGCCCCATGGGGAACGTAACAGAGTGAGTTTTTTTTTTTTTTTTTTTTTTTTTTTTTTTTAATTTTTAAATTATTGCATTGTTTGGTTCCCGAGAATTCGGAGGAAAGCGAGGGAAATTTTGGTGAATTTGGTTTCAATTGTTGTTAGTTCGCTATAGTTTGAGCCTTCTGCAGCTTTAGGGTTTCGGGAGTATTGTTATGCTAACGGGCATGTTATAGGAGGCTGAAATGACCGAAACACCCTTGAGCTTTGTTTTCCTTTTTTAAAGATGTTGCCGTGCAGGGGGAAGATTAGATTTCAACTTATTAAAGTCTCGTTTATTTCACTGATTCGAGTTTTTAATTCTAGTTTTGCTACAGTTAAAAACTCTCACATAAAGTTACATCTCAATTCAAATTAAAAACTTTGAATCAGTTCGTTGAGTAATCATCATTGCAGAAATATATATATAATTTCACTTTATGCTGTTGTTTTTCTTTGTGCATTTTTTTTAAGTTGTTCTTTTTCCTTTTTTAGGTGTATGCGACGTCTTTGGAAAGCGAGAACTATACCATTTTTATAGCTGCTTGTTCTAATGGCATTGAGGGATTTGGGTGGGGACTGTGGGTTCGATTCCGTATTTTGTAAAAAAAAAAGGGAAAAAAAATTAGCATGAGTTAATGCCCAGTAGGAATTTCTGGTGTAATCTCTGGCGGTAAAATTTGATCCATTCACTTAGGAAAAAAATAACTGGCTTCTTTGGTTAATAGGTTTGAATGGACTTAAACTTTTTGGTTAGTTCGAAAACCATCATAGGACAAGAGTGACTTTTGTTTAGTTATTTTTTTTGAATTATTATCGCTGCTGTCCCTTAAACGTTAGAATTATTCTCAGTTTGCTCTCTAAACTTTGAAAACTCTCACTTTTCCCTCTGAAGTTTGAATTGTCCTATTTAAGCCTTTTTGTAAGAATTTATGTTAAAATTAGATTATAAGAAAAGGGATTAAGTGTTGTCATGTGGTTTTTATCCATTTGCTTTTAACAGGTATTCAAACAGAGAGAGCATGTGATTGCATTACTCTTTTTTTTTTTTTTTTTTCATATTCTTGTAACAAAAATTCCAACAGAATGAGTTAAGTGGAACAATTTAAACTTCAGAGGGCAAAGTGAGAGTTTTTAAAGTTCGGAGGGTAAACTGGGAATGACCCAAAGTTTAGGGGCACCGATGATAATAATCATTTTTTTTTTCCTCAGCATATTGCTAGATTTTGTTATCTTACTTGAAACAGGTGTTGGTTTACTAATGTTACTTTATGTTTAAATTAATCGTATAACTGTAACCTTTTGTTCCTAGGCAAGCAAGTTATGCATAACATTGCAGTCTATGGCAACACATACAAACTTCCAAAGCAACTTAGCATTCTCTCTTAATAACCAATATGGTATCATATGCCACTCCAATTCATGTTGTGCAAGTACCTTTTGTTATTATTGCCTTTTCCTTTTTTGTTTGTCTGGAAGATAAGTTTAGTGTTTGGTTGTTTGCTTTATTTGAATATTTATGATATCCCTCCTCACAAACATTTGACTTTCTTGTTATGTTTCATGTCAGGCTCAGAAACAAAGGGAATACAGGCAGAAGATTATATCAAATTATCAGGTAGGTGTATGATAACTTGCTTGAGTTTGCAACTTTGCATATGCCGAAGCATGGGGGTAAAAGACAAATTCTATCAAGATTTTCCTTCTCACTTTTCTTTTTTCTCCTCTTAAAAGAAAATCTTCTCAGTTCCTGTTTACCTCAGATTAATGGAGATTTACAATTGCTCTGACCTTCTTTTGCAGCCTCTACATAGAGAGTTATACACAGTGCACCCTGCAAGTACCTTTGTTCCCTCATTTCTGAAGGCAATTAGTGATAATACCGAGGAAAGCTTTAGAAGTATTATGACTGAACCCTCTCCTGGCGTGTTTACATTTGAGATGCTTCAGCCTTCCTTCTGTGAATTGTTGGTATCCGAGGTATTTTCTTTTGGAAGAACTTCTGAAATATCCCTTAACTTTCACTGGTGTGTCAAATTTTCTCTTCCCTCTGAGAGATGTGCGTGTCAAATTGCCATATCGACATGTCAACTTGAGTAATATCCCCCTTAGACTGTGGTCAGATATCAAATCATCCCTCATGAAGTTAAGTTATTAAAAAATAAATGGAGATAAAGGCACTGGGGCAACATGGTCTGTAACATATGGATGATAAGTGGATTGCAGTGGGGCAATGCGTGATCCCCAGCATATGGTTCGTGGGTAATGTAGGATTGAATGCGTGTATTTTTGTCTACTCTTAACAATTTGAGCTAGCTAAGGTTGATTTAAAATACCTATTTACTGAAGTTAAGGGAGGCAACTTAAGCTTTCCGATTTTCATTTTAGTTTGCTTACAATCTTAAGTAGTACATATGGCATATCGCTGTTCTTTTTGCCTTATCCTTTTCTTTTAGATACTCTTTTTGATATGATGTTTTTGACGGTTAGGTGGAGAATTTTGAAAAATGGGTAAATGAGGCAAAGTTCCGGATCATGCGGCCAAATACAATGAATCGATATGGCGCGGTTCTTGATGATTTTGGCCTTGAAACCATGCTCGACAAGCTTATGGAGAGTTTCATTCGTCCCATATCAAAAGGTGAACATGGTTGCTAACTATGAATATGCACAAATCATTGATATTTAATACAGTGGAACTTGCTAATAGTACGATGGCTAAATATTTGGGAACTGAATTAGGTTTTGTATTTTCTTTTTAGTGTTCTTTCCTGAAGTTGGGGGAGCGACTCTTGACTCTCACCATGGTTTTGTTGTTGAATATGGTAAAGATAGGGATGTTGACTTGGGTAAGTACTCTTTTTCTGCCTTCTCTTATGATACTATACTTTCTACTTTTTGATATTACACTGCTATTTTGTACGGTTGCAGGCTGTTTGTAGTGGTTTAAAGATGATGTTGACCACGAAAAAAAAGATTGATTCATGCAATTTCTTGTCTTTATGGTATTTGTTATCCGTTGTGGGGGTTTACAGTAGTAAAATTTATTTCTTCTGATCACCACTCCTGATGAACATAAGTACCATTTGGTGGAGTAAAATGACTTTTATAAAACAGATTTCTTTCTGTGTCAATGTATATGAGTCAAGTTGCTTGTAAGTTTGTCTTAGAACCTGGTGCTCATAGTGATAATTGAGATGTAGAGCTGTTACAGATGTTTCTTAGTTTCTCTCTCTTTTTTGTTTTTGTGTTTTCTCTTTTTGGGGGAGTGTTGGATACATCAAACGTGGAGGTGGCAATGAAAGTGAGATAAATTTACGGGATAATGTGGGGTAATTAACTAGCAGGGAACTTAATGGGTAGTTTGCAAAGAGTGTAAGCCGCTCAAATTTCTGTATAATTTGAGAAATATAGATTGATATAATTTGACCTCTCAGTCTCATATGGAATGCAGTTCACGAGAAATTACTGACAGCTTGTGAATTATTATTAGTGGCAAGTTTTACTTGTTATTGCTCTTGTAAAAAGTAAAAAGAACTTTTGTTTCCTAAGGAAGGTAGATCTTAATCATAGCTTTCTATTTACCTTAGTTTCTAAAAATCTCGATGGCTGTGTGTTTAGAAGCAAATGGGAATCTGAAGTTCTGTAGGTTGTTGGATTGCCTTGACATCAAAATACACACACAAATGCCGTGTTTAGAATTGTTCTTGTTTTTGCTTTTCATGTTTTTCGAGGGAAAAAAATGAAAACGATTCCAAAACGGCGTTTGGCACAATTAAAAACAAAAAACGGAAATGAAAATGATGTTTTAGTTTAGTGTAAAATGGGAAAGAAAGGAAAAACGACTTTTAGTCGTTTTTCATTTTTTGTTTTCGTTTTCTCCTCTTTTGAGAAGAGAGAGAGAGACATTAATGTATTTTTTTTATACTGAAAACAATTTCTTGATAAAACTACCAAATGCATTTTAAAAAATGATTTAACTCTGAGATTGAAAACGTTTTCATTTCCATTTTCATACAATAAACAAAATCATTTTGGAACGAGTTCCAAACGCACCCAAAGTTTTTAAGATCAAGCTAATGTATTTGTTCATGCCCTTTCCATTTATGCCCCCTTTTTGGTTTTTTATCTCTGTAGCGGTCTCTTCTAGGTAGTAGTGCTTAATTGTTTGTCACCACTTGGTGATCGGCTGATAGCTACAGTTGTATATGACATATTGTTGAATTCCCGAATCAATTAGGGAGATTTCTTATGAATAATCCTTGCTATCTTGTAAATAAATTAGGAGAAGAATCCGGTTAATTGATTCCATATTCTAATTTTATTTTTTCCTAGTTTAGTGAGATTGTTTTCTTATTTAGTTTCAATCTAGGATTAGTCAAAGGTCCTCCTCTTGTATATATATGTACCGCTGCATTCCAAGAATAACAAAACATAATATCAATTCTTATTACCTTCATGGTATCAGAGCCTTAGGCTCATAATCTCTGGGAATTCCTTCGAACCAAACTGCCATTATCCGGCCTTGTTCCTTCGGCAGGATTGACTGCCATTCACAGGCTCACTCTCACGGCAGGGTTCCTTCTTTTCTTCCCATATTCTCATAGTCTTATTAGGAGACTATTCTTTCCTCAAATCCCTCTGTCCGAACACTATCTCTTAATGGCCAAATACGGCATGGCAACAGAGAGGTCTACCACAACTTTAGAAGCCAGTTCCAACGTTGAAGGTTCATCCGCAGTTAATTCTCATGTAGGCTCAGAAAATTCCTCAATTCTCATCACAGGGCATAAGCTAAATGGTCAAAACTACCTGCAATGGTCCCAATCGGTGATGATGTTCATATGTGGTAAAGGCAAAGATGAATATCTAACCGATGAGAGGTCTACCACAACTTTAGAAGCCAGTTCCAACGTTGAAGGTTCATCCGCAGTTAATTCTCATGTAGGCTCAGAAAATTCCTCAATTCTCATCACAGGACATAAGCTAAATGGTCAACACTACCTGCAATGGTCCCAATCGGTGATGATGTTCATTTGTGGTAAAGGCAAAGATGAATATCTAACCGATGAGATCACAATTCCAGAAAAGGGAGATCCAAAATACAGAATATGGAAGATAGAGAATCACATGATTATGTCGTGGCTAATCAACTCTATGAACATCGAAATAGGGGAAAACTTTCTCCTATATGGAACAACAACGGAGATATAGGATGCAGTCCGGCAAACCTAATCTAGTTCGGAAAATACCTCTGAATTGTTTGAGGTTGAGGCTGCACTCCATGATCTACGTCAAAGGGATCTCACGGTCACACAATACTATAATACTCTCACTTGCCATTGGCAACATCTAGATATGTTTGAAGTTTATCCATGGAAGTGTACAAAAGACACAAAACTGTACCGGAAGATTGTGGAGCAAAAGAGGATATTCAAATTCCTTCTCGGCCTCAACAAGAGCTTGAAGAATAATGGGCACAAAACCTCTCCCGAGCATAAGGGAGGCTTTCTCGGAAGTTCGTTGAGAGGAAAGTCGGAAAAAGTTGATGAGTCCACAAAACCCTACTCCAACTGTTGAAGGATCTGCATTGGCTGCTCGAGGATCACAAAACAATATTGCTGATAACAGGTTTGACAACAGGCAACGGAAAAGAAGACCTAGGTGTGATCACTGCCGCAAAACATGACATACTCGGGAGACTTACTGGAAGATCCATGGTAAACCGGTTGATTGGAAGCCGTCACGACCAAATAATGATCGAGAAGGTCGACTCAACATCGCTGCCACCGTAGATGACAAAGAACGCCGCCCTACCTCACAAACTGAGAATAGCCCCTTCACTAAAGAGCAACTTGAGGTACTCCAGAAGCTTTTTAGCCATAATGCGGTGACTCAAACAGCCAATAATGCCCCTGGCTCTAGCATGTTAGCACATAAAGGTAATCTTTCCAATGCCTTTGCGGTTAATAAATGTCATAAAAGTCCTTGGATTGTTGACTCAGAAGCCTCAGATCATATGACGGGAGATGCCACCATATTTCACGAGTACAGTCTAAGTCTCGAGAACCATACAGTCTGAATAGCAGATGGTTCTTTATCCAGGGTTAAGGAAATGCGTTTCATAAAAGTTACTAAGGACATAACCCTTCATTCAGTTCTTCATGTACCTAATTTGGACTGCAATTTACTCTCTATCAGTAAATTAACTCGTGATCTCAACTGTGTGACTAAATTTTTTCCAAACCATTGTGAATTTCAGGAGTTGGATTCGAGGAAGACGATTGGCAGTGCTGAGGAGTGTTCTGGACTCTATCTCCTCAAGGACAATATTCCTCCAAGCGGTGAATCATTCAAGAGTCAGTCATGCTTAAACACTTGTGTCAATAAAGATAGTGAAGTTATTTAATGGCATTATCGCCTTGGTCATCCTAATTTTATATATCTCAAAACTTTGTTTCCATCATTATTTATCAATAAAAGTCTGAAGTTTTTTAATTGTGAAGTTTGCCAACTTTCTAAACACACTCGTAGTAGCTATCCTAGTTCCTCATACAAACCATCCCGTCCCATTACTTTAATTCATAGTGATGTATGGGGACCCTCAAGAGTAAAAAATATCACTGGAACTCGATAGTTTGTATTCTTTGTTGATAATCATACTCGCTTAACATGGGTGTTTCTTATGAAAGAAAAGTCCGAAGTTGGACAAATTTTTCAAAACTTCAATTCTATGATATATACACAGTTTCAAACCAAGATCCAAGTCCTTAAAAATGACAATGCCAAAGAATACTTTGAATCAGTTCTAGGCACCTATCTCACGAGTCAAGGGATTGTTCACCTAAGTTCGGGTGTTGACACCTCGCAACAAAATGAGGTTGTAGAGAGGAAAAACAGACACTTGTTAGAGGTGGCTCGATCACTCATGTTCACTACACATGTTCCTAAACATTTCTGGGGAGAAGCCATACTCACAGCCACATACCTTATTAACCGGATACCCTCCAGAGTGCTTAAATTCCAAACTCCAGCCAAAGTTGTTCTTCAATATTTTCCACACCAAATTTGTTAGGATCCTAGCTCAGAAAATCAACCAAACACCAATACCACACTCACACACACCAGAAACAGCAAGAAAATGAGAATAATTGGAGGGAATTTTATTAATCTAATCAGCCAAGAACACCAAATTACACTAAAATGTAAAGGATAGAACGGAGAATTCGAGTACTTCGGGAACTCCTAATTTAGTGGTATTCGAGAGACCACTGCTCTCCCTAATCTCAGTTTCTTAAAACTCTCCAAATCACAACATACCTCTAGTGAGCTACTAAGCCCTTTATTTATACTAATTCCTACTAACTATACCAGCCCACTAACCAAACAAGTTCTCAAGTCATTAACGGATCCTAACATTACCCCCGCCCCAAAGAAACACCTTGTCCTCAAGGTGTTAAGTAATCGTAGCCGTGTGTCTCCACTTCCTTCCGATTCCTATCACGTCAATTCCATTCAACCCCCCTTCTGCCACCCCGCTCTTTGTAGATCCGACCCCAATCGGACCGAAATAAGAAGACCCAGTCCAAACTTCATTGGAATTGTCCTTAATCGCGTTGGAAGTGTGCAGCCCAACCTTAACGGCATCGGAACCAACACAAATCACGCCAGATTTGAGAAACCCAGCCCTTGGCTCGCCAGAATATGCCCTAATCACACCATAATAACGAAGCCCAGCCCCAATTGCACGGAAATCAGCTCCAATTGCGCGGAAATCAGCCCCAATCACGCTGGAATTCCAAGACCCAATTCTAATTGCTCCAAAATCATCCTCATGACACTTGGATTCCAAGTCCCAGCCCTCCCATCGAGAGATCCCGCCCCCAAATCGCCAGAATTGATCTTAATCGCGTCGGAATTGCAAATCCCAGCCTTCATGGCGTCAGAACTAGCCCCAAGTACACCGGACCCCTTTCACGCCGGAATCGTGAGGCCCTATCCAAACAGCAGCCAAATAGTCGAGCCCAGCCTCCGTTGCGCCGGGATCTGTCTCTGTAGCACTGGAATCAGCCCTTTTCACGCCGGAATCGCGAAGCCCGGTCCAAATCGGTCTGGAATCAGCCCCAACCGCGACCGAAACAGGGATGGGTTCCCTGTTCCGAGGGTACCCATGCCGTCCCAGCCCTGGAGCAAGCCTCTCCTCCTCTAACTCCGGCTCCCATTCCGATTCCCGTCGCCGAACAAGCTCCGCCGCCCTCTCCCGATGGTCGCGACCTCCGTCCGCCCTCCTCCCGTCGTCGAACAACCCCTCACGCTGCAGATCCGGACCACCCAGCCCCAGATCGCGACGGATCTCGCGCTCCTCCATGAGACCAACGTCTCTCCGGCGTCGGAACTCCTTCTCGCGGCCTCGATCTTCGCGAATCGGCGCTTCCCGTCGAAGATCCGCCCGATTTGGCACCTCCACTCCGCCTGGGTCGACGCGATCTGGGCTCTCCTCGCCCCGAGGTGCGCGATCTCGCCTCTCCCCAGCCTGTCGTTCGCTGTCGCGACCCAACTCGGCCTTCCCGGCCATCCGCCACGTCGCCAGCAGTGCCTCCATCCTCCGCAGCACCGCCTGCACGTCTTCCATCTGAGTCCGAACCTTCCCCACCTGGTCTCGGAGCCTCCCGATACTCCCTCTAGAAACCTTGAGATTACCGCTCAGAATAGCCCTAAGTTTCTCTCTTAACTCAAAAAGCTCCATGGATCGTAGATGCTCTGATGCCATTGTTAGGATCCTAGCTCAGAAAATCAGCCAAACACCAATACCACACTCACACACACCAGAAACAGCAAGAAAATGAGAATAATTGGAGGGAATTTTATTAATCTAATTAGCCAAGAACATCAAATTACACTGAAATGTAAAGGATAGAACGGAGAATTCGAGTACTCTGGGAACTCCTAATTTAGTGGTATTCTAGAGACCACCGCTCTCCCTAATCTCAGTTTTTCAAAACTCTCCAAATCACAACATAAAATTGTTATAATTCTTGGGTAGAACTCATCCCCAAAAGCTAGCTTGTAGGGAGAGGGTGCCCAAATGGTTATAAATCCACATGCTAAGCCCATACTTTAGCAATGTGGGACTCAACTAGGATCCTAACATACCACCACACTTCTGACACCGACATCCACGGCGGCCCACTCTGGATGGCCCACTCTGGCCTTTCCAAGTTGCCCCTCCCCAGGTCGCCCCTTCCGTAACGTGGGCATGAGGAGGAGCATGCTCTGATACCAATTGTTATAACCCTTGGGTAGAACTAATCCCTAAAAGCTAGCTTGTAGGGAGAGGGTGCCTAAATGGTTATAAACCCACATGCTAAGCCCATACTTTAACAATGTGGGACTCAACCAGGATCCTAACATAATTCATCTCATCATTAGACCTTAAGATATTTGGTTGTTCTGCCTTTGTCCATATACACTCTCAACACCGTGGGAAGCTAGATCCTAAATCCATTAAATGTGTTTTTCTTGGCTACTCACCACATCCAAAAGGATATGTGTTACTCTACCACAACAAAGAGGTTTTATAACTCAATGGATGTGCCTTTTTTTGAACACCAATCATTCTTTACCAAACCTACAATTCAGGGGAGAATATGAGAGAATTTCAACTTTGGGATCTTGAATTTCATCCTTCACCTCCTTCACCTTCCTCTTCTCCGGTCTATCCTCCTTCTACTACTCTGCTTTATCCTTTCCAATAAGAGTCTTTCATTCAAACCGAGAGTCATCCTCACACAACAAACCTCTCTCCTGTCCGAAACAATCACAGTCCTTCTCCTCATCCTCAACAAAGTAATAACAAGAACAAAGAATTGATTGTTTATTCCAGGAGGAAGAAGTCTGGAAAGGAGATAGAAGACACAATACCTCTCGTACTAGACCATGAAGCTGATCCGGATTCAATGACTACACAAATTCACTCAGGTAAGGAAAATTTGGTCCTTGAAGATACAACACATGTTGTGGATGATTTAGATATTCCAATTGCCCTGAGGAAAGGTGTCAGAACATGTACAAATCATCATATTTGCCGATTTGTCTCATATGAAAATCTGTTACCATCCTATCAGATCTTTGTGTCTACCCTTGACAGTGTGCATGTTCCAAATTCTATTAAGGAGACACTCAGAAACTCAGAATGGAGGAAAGGCAGTTAATGAAGAAATCCGAGCATTGGAGAAAAATGGCACGTGGGAGTTAACAGATCTTGCACCAGATAAGAAGGCTGCCGGATGTAAGTGGATCTTCACCATCAAACACAAGGCAGATGAAAGTATTGAGAGACTAAAAGCTTGACTAGTTGCAAAATGGTTCACTCAGTCTTACGGAGTAGATTATCAAGAAACATTTGCTCCAATGGCTAAGCTAAACACTATCAGAGTCCTTTCCTTTGCAGCAAACAAAGACTGGCCCTTGCATCGACTAGATGTCAAAGAATGCGTTCCTGAATGGTGATCTTGAAGAAGACGTGTACATGGAAATACCTGCAGGATTGGAAACTACCTTGAACTGCAACAAGGTATGCAAACTCAAGAAGTCTTTATATGGACTTAAACAATCTCCTCGTGCATGGTTTAACAGGTTTGCAAAGTCAGTCGTGAAATATGGATACACTTAGTGCCAAGTAGACCACACACTGTTTGTGAAGTTCTCTCTAGAAAAGAGAGTAGCAGTCTTAATTGTATTCGTTGATGACATCATTCTGACTGGTGACTATGAGGAGGAATTATTGAGATTGAAATCAGTCCTAGCCAAGGAATTTGAAATTTTCTTGGAATGGAGGTAGCTCGATCCAAGAAAGGAATTTTTGTCTCTCAACGGAAGTATGTCCTACATTTACTAAAGGAAACTGGCATGCTTGGATGCAAACCTGTTGACACATCGATGGATTCAACTAAGAAGATAGGAGCTAGAAAAGATTCTGCACTAGTTGACAGAGGAAGGTACTAGAAACTTGTAGGGCGACTTATCTACCTCTCACACACAAGACCTGACATTGGCTTTCCAGTTAGTGTGATGAATCAGTTCATGCACAGCCCTACAGAAGAACACATGGAAGCTGTGTATAGAATTCTGAGGTATCTCAAAATGACTCCAAGAAAAGGAATACTTTACAAGAAGACAGGAAATAGGGATATCGAAGTCTATTTTGATGCGGATTGGGCAGGAGATGTAAGAGACAGGAAATCAACAACTGGTTATTGTGCCTATGTTTGGGGAAATCTTGTGACTTGGAGAAGCAAGAAACAACCAGTAGTCTCAAGGAGTAGTGCAGAAGCTGAGTTTAGAGCATTGGCCCTAGGCATTTGTGAAGGAATGTCGATACGCAGACTACTTAAGGAGTTAGGGATAACAATTGAGAGACCAATCAAGTTGTTCTGTGATAATCAAGCCACTATATGCATTGCTAAAATCTTGTACACCATGACAGGACTAAGCATATTGAGATTGATCGTCATTTCATCTCAGAGATTGATAACTCGGTTGTACGTTTATACTCCTACACAATCTCAAGTGGCATACATACTCACAAAAGCTCTTCTCATCTCAGAGAAGATTGATAACTCGGTTGTATAGCTGGTCTATACTCCTACACAATCTCAAGTGGCAGACATACTCACAAAAGCTCTTCCGAGAACAAGCTTTGAAGAATTAAGTCACAAGCTGTGTTTGTTCAACATATACAACTCAGCTTGAGAGAGAGTGTTGAATTCCCGAATCAATTAGGGAGATTTCTAAGGAGTAATCCTTACTATCTTGTAAATAAATTAGGAGAAGAATCCGGTTAATTGATACCAGATTCTAGTTTTATTTTTTCCTAGTTTAATGAGATTGTTTCCTTACTTAGTTTCAATCTAGGATTAGTCAAAGGTCTTCCTCTTGTATATATATAAACTAGTTACGACTTTATTTTTTAGTCCCCTAAAACAAAATTATTTTTTGGTCTCTCAACCTATTCAGTTAAGATCCCAGTGTTGGTTGTTTAAATATCTAGTAGGATTTTTTTTTATTTTTTTGGGTGTAGGACTCTTCATCTGTTTGCGTGAATGATAATGTTAGTCTCTTTATGCATGTGTCCAGCACCAAACTATTACATGCATTATTCTATTAGTTATACTCTTAAGATGTTGTAGCATGCCAAGACAAAATATCATTGCGGCACAAATACTATGCGCTTTTTACCTTGCTTTCTCTATTTTCACAAGCTGTAGTCTTAAGAAATAATTCTTCCTTTGTAGGTTTTCACGTCGATGACTCAGAAGTGACTTTAAATGTGTGCTTGGGTAAGCAATTTACTGGAGGAGAATTGTTTTTTCGAGGCACACGATGTGATAAACATGTAAATACTGGCAGTCAATCTGAGGTATGGTATTCTTTTTAGTTGGAAATGACAACAAATATATACCTTTCACAGGCAGAGAGAGTGTTCTTGCTTCCTGCTGGTTGTGAGGGTGTTTCACTGGTTATAAAGGTATTGATGTATCTTACTTGAAAGCAGGAAATCTTTGATTACACCCATGAACCAGGGCAAGCTGTGCTTCATCGTGGACGTCATCGTCATGGTGCTAGAGCCACAACATCTGGTCATCGAATCAACTTACTTCTATGGTGTAGAAGGTATTATTGTCTTCTGTCCTTTCATGAAGCAATAAGATTGTGCAGAATCCTCTTTTTTTCTTCCTCCTTTTTGTTCTACATCAACTTCTAGTCTATTAATTGGCTGAAATGTTTTCCATTTATATGCTTTTAATGTAATAAATGTGCTCCCAGATTTTTGGTGAAATATATGTGTAGGTATCTTTTCTTCTTGTTTCTATTATCATTATTTTTTAAAAGGAGTCGTTGAGTCTTTATGCTTTCATTTGGGGCCCATCACTCATTTCCCTAAAATGGACAGATTTTGATTTTGGATTATTTGATGAGTGTTTTAGTTTCTTTTCTCAAATTCTGACAAGTCGGAGAAAGAATGGTAAGGCAATCTTGAGTACCACATGCTCATGTCAATCAGGTAAAAGAAGTAGGACTCTGGAATTTATAGAAGATGAACATAGTAGAAACAAGGTCCCACTACATACATGGTTACTTCATCTTCAAAATCTTCCTTCCTGCTTAAAACAGCAACATAAAAAGCTGCTTATTGGGTTGCCTTTCTCCCATGTTGAATGTCTACAATTTGAGAGAAAAATTGCTGATGCAACTCATTTCTGGACATTATCGAGTATAGGACAAAATTGTCTTCATAATTAATTAAAAAAAAAAAAAATCTGACCCACATTTGAAGAGCCAGCATCGTATGTTGTATTTTGTAGGACTTAAGGGCGCGTTTACCAAACCGTGAAGGAATCTAATGGGAAAGGTAATGAAATTAGAAAGAAAAGTAAAGGAATAAGAATAAGTGTCGTTAATTCCCTTTTCAAGTGTTTCCTTAACTATTAGTGTTGCAATGGGAAACAATCTCATTCCCTTTCTAGTGTTTACTAAAATTGGGAATAACAATATTATCAATGTAGTGTTAACTGGTAACGGTGGGTTGGATTTAAAGGGAGAGATCCTAGGCTCGAATCCTGAGAGCAGCTAGCCTGTATCAAATAAAAATATGATTAATGTAATAACTAAAAGGTCGTTTCACACAATTAAATAATCATTGACTATACATAATCCATTAAGGGTGGATATGTAAATTTGGTATTCATTCCCTTTAATAGGGAATCAATAATACCAAGGGGAATGCAAGGATTGGCGTTCCTTTTGGGGCCTATTAAATGCCCATTACTGATTTATTAGTAAACACATTAGTAGATAGATAGGAAAGGGAATCATTTCCCTTTGATGTCAAAGTAAACACGCCCTAAAATTAGGCTGAAGGAGAGAACAGAGAAGGAAACCAGCTAAAGTTGTGCTGCAGATGAACCAAACTATATGGCTGGTTAGATCCACGAAAGTATACCAGCTCCATTCCAATAGCGTTGTAGAAAAAGTATATAGTGCAACATGAAATTTGGGAATACCTTTATTTCCAACTCAAATAGAAATTAGCAAGTGGTGTTTGGATCCTAAGCTGCTGTTTTTTGAAACAAGTGGTTTCTTTTCCCTGGATCTCATTATAATTCAATGTAAACTTATAGTCAATTTATCCGTTTTGCCAGCATCCGTTAGATTCTATCTTCAATTTTTTGGTACAATGAAAGAACTCTCATTCATACTTTCTGTATATTCAGTATTAGAATGAAAGTATGCGAGTATTATAATGAAAATCTGCTATCATCTTACTTTCATATTTGACTGTGTCCTATCAGACACAGATGTGTTACCTATCAAAGTGGTTGTGGTTATGGGGTTTTAAAGGATGATGCGACTGGTTTCTCATACTCTATTTCATAAACTGGATACAGTTCGGTCTTCAGAGAGATGAAGAAGTATCAGAAAGACTTCTCTGGCTGGTGTGGGGAATGCTTGCGTGAGAAGAAAGAGAGGCAACGGACCTCACTTGTTGCTACTAAATTGGTATGTATTATTTTAACGTGTTTCATTTTAACCAGAGCATGTTTGTTTTTGGACAAGTATTGGATATAAAATATTTTGAATAAAAGTAAATGATAATCATAATTTTACTGAATTTGCATAATAATTAGCAAAACTTGGTATTATGAAGGTATAATAAAGATTAAAGAATGCTTTCAATTGATATTTTAAAGGGTAACCATAGATGCTACATACTTCCTCAGTGTACAATACATAAGTGTGAAATCGATGGTTACATTCATCAGATTCCTCCCTGTATTCCTCTGTGGGCTTCTACAGATAACACTTCCCATTATCTTTGATAATGTTAGTTGGGTTGACATTTTGGTTTAAGTAGTGGTCACGGGAGTCTTGTTTTGTATTCTGAGTCTGGTTCTCTGTTGATACCTTTTGTTTTTTGTTATTATTTTTTTCAATTTCCTTTTTCTGTTTTATTGATGGATTTCTCATCCATCCTGAATCTTCATTTGTCATATTTTGCTAATAAATGATTTTCCATTTTTCTTATTCAAAAAAGAAAAACTAATTCGAATTTTCGGGAGAGCTAAATTTATATCATTTTATTTTTTGATGAATAATTTTCTGCAGGAGTTGCTCAGGAGAGAGAGCGAATCGTGAGGGACTTGTATCATTTATGTAGCTGTATTCTTGATCGAGACTCAACGGAGAACTAACGATGAGACTTGAACAGAAGTTTGCTTTATGTGCTTCATTCTGACGTACGGTTTGTGTGTACATAATCAAAGTAATTGGAGAATTCCCTTGTAAAATTATGCATAAGATATTTGTTGAAAAAAAAAAGAAACAAGAAAAAAAGAAAAGGAACAAAACATTTTAGTCCATGGAGTTGTCGAGGCTGTATTTAGCAAGGTGGAACTTAGGGCGTTTCAGACCCCAATAAATCGTCATTCTTTTTTGCACTTTCATCATTCTCTGGTTTCCAGATATCCGTGTATCTGATTACTTTGTGGGCGGGTAGTTTACACTCTACTTGATGCTTTCTTTTTGGTTTTCTTATAAACAAATAGCTTGTTTAGGCCCCGTTTATTTTACCGATTCGAGTTTAAAATTTAAATTTCGTTACAGTAAAAAGCTCTCAGAAACAGTCACATTTAACTTTTTTGTTACAGTAAAAAGTTTTCACATAAAGTCACATCTCAACTTGAATTAAATACTTGAATCAGTGAACTAAATGGGTCTTAAGGACATAAGTTATCTTCTCTTTGCATCTCTCTTCTGTATATTTCATTTCCCTCATTCCATTTCCCCAATTACTTTGCTATTGATTCTTCATGCAATACAGCTTAGCTGAGTCACCTGACATTCTCCCACAGCAAATATGGTATGCTCACATTAGAGACACAGCTTCGTTGGCTTTTCTCATTTTATAGCCACAGGAAAAGCCTTCCTATTTTTTCTTTTTTAAAGTTAACTAGAAATATTCGATGATGGGATATATCCCTTTCTATGGTAAATTACTTGACGTATTTTTCATACTGTCACTAGGTGCCGTGGGGTTATTTTTCTTCCAAAATTTCATCTTCGTGATACCAGTAAGTCACCAAGTTCACCCTGCCAAACCCAACATGAACCCACACACAAAACGCTAATGAACAATACAACAAAGGCAACACAAAAGAACAAGCAAACAATGAGTTGTGGAAACTAATTGTAACCTTTCTTACGCTTTACACAAACTCGGGCAGTTAAGCTTGTAATAGGATATTAACATGCACGCTTTCGGCCATGTGTATCTACTTCTTGAGGCTAGTCATTCAGAACCTAGAAGACTAGTGATTTACATCCCTAATCCCTAGCAATGTAAGGCTGTAGGAACCGCCATCCACTGCTAAGTGTCGCATACTTTGGTCATCATAAAGCCATCTTGTACCGCCCTGCGCATCATGCACCCCCGCATTCTCAGCACCTTTGCTCGTCGAGATCTTGTCTTGTGCACAATGCTTGTTACATGCGCCTGTCAATGCCCTAGTGCCTCAGCATGCGCATGCTGCCACACAAGGCTGTTGGTGCAAGTGCACATGCTAGTAGCTCATTTTCAAGTTTGAGCACTCCAAGCCTCGCTTATGTCATGCCTCTTTGCCTGAAGCAAGGTAGTCCCTTGGTATAACAGAAATTCAGCATCTCAATAATTCTCATGATCTCAGCACACATACTCAATTACTTTCCACAAAGATGAAGATTTGATTACGTTTTTAATGCTGCTACCTTTTTACCTACTGTAATCAACTCTCTATATTGCCCTTTATTCACCCATTAATGTGTATAGTCTTACTTTCTTTTTCTAGATATTTTTGTACGTGTATATATGATGCCAAGTTAATGAAATAAAGTAGCCATTCTCAATAGTCACAATGACAATATTAAAATACATTATAAAAAAAAATATAAAACGTTTAAACTAAAAATACTGAGGTCTGTATCGCACGGTTTCCTTAAAGGAGATTCACCCCCTCACTGTAGGTGCACGAGGATCGATTTACTAGTAGTAACGGTGCACAATAATGCTACCACTGCAAAATTAATATCTGCCCGAACCTATCACACTGAATACCCTTAGAGAGAGGAGAAGAATTTTTGAGAGGAGAAAATGATTAAAATTTGGTGTCTCAACTTGGGAGTGGGGGTCTCTTTTATAGGACTTAGAGGAGACAGTGGCTTCGTCTCTTTTGATGTGGGGACAAGAGACTTCCTAACTTCTTGGAAGTTCTCCCTTTAGCTTTTTCCAGTTTCACGAGAGCACTTTGAGAGTCAATTTCTCATTCACATATCACCATTTTAAGCATATAAATACATCATTTCGATATCCTCGCAATGGAAAACACAAATTCAAATTGAACTATCACTAACAGTAAGTGGGTCTTGCTCAAAATCGAGTTTCAAAATGGTACCTCGAAAAGGGTTTCTAAGCCATTTTTCTAACAATCCCCCACATAATGAAATTGACGGACGAAACGAAACAAAACAATGACGTTTTACCTGATGATAAAGTTCATGGTCGAACCCCGCATAGGATAGGTAGGTGTTACCCTTTGAACCTTTCCTTGTGAGGATATATTTACTTGATTGACTAAATAGTAGACGCGATGCCCTTGAACTGTTTTGCGGTTATGTATATGATGATATAGCTCACATAGGAATCTTTCTTGACACATAGGAATCTTTGGTTTTGCGAGAGTTTTAGAGAATTAAGCCCTACATAATTTTCCTTCGAAGCGGCCCACTTCTATCTCACATAGGTGATCTCTCTCCGCATGGAATTTCTGCTGCATAAGAATCATTAAAAGCATAACTTATCCTTTTCCCAACGGGCATCATTATTTCATCATAGAAATGGACCGGGAGGTAACCCCGCACAGTGATCCAACTAAGTCTTTACAACTAGGTTGTCCCTTTGAACCTAAATCTTAGGATCTCCAATCAAATAATTCTCAGTTTAACCTTTTGGTTAGCCGTAATGTTATCCTTTGACTTCATGTAGCCAACAGAGATAACTCCAATTCAGATTAGTTGTCTAATGGTGTTATGTCTACAACGTATGTGTCTAGACTTACCATTATACATGTTGCTTTGTGCTCTTCTAATCGCAGATTGACTATCACAGTGTATACTGATTGCTGGCAAAGGCTACAGCTATTTTGGAATATCCTCTAAGAAATGGAGCAGTCATTTAGCCTCTTCTCCACATTTATCCAAAAGCTATAAACTCAAATTGTGGATCTAGCTATAACAGTCTGTTTAGAGCATTTCTATGATATAGCCGCACCTCTTAGTGTGAACACATATCCACTAGTAGACTTCGAGTCTTTGATATTAGATATCCAATTTGCATCATTGAATCCTTCCAGAATAGTTAGATATTTAGTATAGTGCAACCCATAACAATGAGTATATCGAAGGTACCTGAGTACTCTTACTATAACTTTCCAGTGATTGACTCTTGGATTACTCTGTAAGCAATGTCTGGCATTGAACAGCTTATTAAGTATATTAAACGTCCTATCACTCCAGACTACTCCAGTTGGGAGACATTATCTCCTTTATTTTTAGATAGGTGTAGACTTACGTCTATCGATGTTCTAGTCACACCATAATCATCCTTATTGAATTTCTCAAGTACATTGTCCACATAGTTCCACTGACTTAAAATGAGTTCATCCGATATTCTCAAAGTTTTCATTCCTAAAATCACATCAGCTGGTCTCGTACCTTTCATGTCAAATCTTGATTTCAACATACCCTTGGTAGATTTGATCATCTTGTCATTACTACCAACATATCCTTTCATAATCATTTCTATTCTCTTTTACATAAACACATTTGTCACACTTATTGAAGCTTCAAAATTCACCTTCCAGCAAATAAATTAGAAAATTTGGACCAAAAGATTTTTCTGTCCTTTCTCTTTTGCTACGTCGAGGTTCAACCTCAACATCATATATTGTTCTTAGTCCTGACTATCTTCATTCATTGTTACAGTCCCCTGCGGATCCACGGCCTCGGCCTCGTCCTCAGAGCTGGGTGGTACGCTTGTGAGCTATCTTTGAAATGGAAAAGAACAACAAAGGGGCGATGTATGCTATTAAGCGATACAAACAAATAAATTGATTTGAATAGTTATCCTTTATCCACATCTGGCAGCCAATAAATAGGCTTAAAAACCAACGTTACAATGAGATAAATTAGCAACTAACTATCAACGTGTAGAAACGTGTTTGACCGAATCAAAAGGAAATTAAGTAACAATCTTTTATTAAAATATAGACCAAGTCTTCAACGAAAAAGAAGTACACATTCCAAACATGCAATTGAACACGTGCACACCAATACGTGACATATGATTGTAACAGCTCCTCCCCTTTTAAAGAAACCTTGTCCTCAAGGCTGAGGAAATTCTGGATAGTCTTGGCCGAACTCCTGTCGACTGATCCAAGATGCCTCTAATGAATCACAACCCACCCATTTAACAAGAAACTCTTGTTCCTTCCTTTGTCCCCGTACATCTAGGATGGCTTCAGGATGCTTGGAATTGTTGAAGAAATCAACGCCAAGTTCAGGAAGAGTAGGGGTGACGTCTATTCCAGCGCCCACATGTTTCTTGAGGACAGATACGTGAAAAATGGGGTGAATGAGGCTGGATGGTGGCAGCTCCAATTCGCAAGCTACTTTATTATCTTCTTGATTATCTTGAAGGGACCATAGAAGCGAGCAGCGAGCTTCTGTGAAGTGCGTCGGGATACCGAATTTTGCTGATGAATCTTGAGCTTAAGATAGACCAAATCGCCAACTTCAAACTCTCGATCCACATGTCGGCGGTCATAAACTTGCTTCATACGGTTCTGTGCCTCCTGAAGGCGGGCTGAAGCTCCTTAAGAACAACATCACGTTGAAGGAGCGAGTCTTCTACAGCTTGTACTTTAGCCATCCCATGAATATATGAGAGAAGAGTAGGTGGGGGCCTTCCATAGACTACCTCAAAGGGAGTGGTTCGTGTCGAAGTATGTATGCTTGTATTGTAACAATACTCCGCCCATGAAATCCATTTGGTCCATTCTTTCGGCCGCTCACTTGTGAAACACCGAAGGTACATCTCGATTGTGCGATTTACTACTTCAGTTTGCCCGTCTGTCTGGGGGTGATAGGCAGAGCTGAAGTTGAAATGAGTCCTTTGTAGTTTGAATAGCTCACGCCAAAATGCACTTGTAAACGTTGGGTCCCTATCACAGACAATTGACTGGGGCATGCCATGTAACTTAAAAAAGTGATCAAAGAATACCTGAGCGACGGTGGTGGCGGTATAAGGATGAGACATGGGAACGAAATGCACATATTTTGATAGGCGGTCCACCACCACTAAGAGAGTGGTTTTTCCCTTAGAAGCTAGTAATCCATCCACGAAATCTATAGAAATATCCGTCCACACCTGCATGGGAATGGGAAAAGGTTGTAGAAGTCCCGTCGGTCCTTGTAAATCAGCTTTGTGCCTTTGGCAAATGTCGCACTTCCTGATAAATTGTCGGATCACATCTTTAATTTTCTTCCAATAGAAAACCCCCTACAGACGATGGAATGTCTTGAAATATCCCTCGTGGCTGGCCCCATGAATTTCTCCTAGGATGGGAGGAATTAAAGAAGAGTCACTGGGAAGAAAGATCTTACCCTTAAAGAATAATATCCCATGCTTCAGTTGCTAAGGTCCCACAGCTTCACCATCATGTACTAATCGGTGGAGCCGTTGGAGTTCCAGGTGGTGTTGATTCTCATCTCGTATGGACTCTAACCATTGGGGGGAGGGAGATGATAAAGCAAAAACTTCAGTTGGTTGACCTCTTCGAGATAAGGCGTCGGCAGCGGAGTTAGTTTTTCCTGGCTTATATTCAATGCTGAAATCATAACCAAGGAGCTTGATAAGCCATTTCTGTTGAGCCTCGGTTGCTATCTTTTGTTCCCATAAATACTTGAGACTGCGTTGATCGGTTCTCACAACGAAGTGTCATTCAAGGAGATAAGGGCGCCATTTTTGTACTGCAAGGACTAAAGCCATTAGCTCTTTTTCATACGTGGAGAGGGAAAGATTTTTACCCTTGAGACTGGAGCTAAAGTATGCAATGGGTCGTTTGTTTTGCATGAGAACCGCACCAATGCCTGTGACGGAGGCGTCGCACTCCACGGTGAAGGGGATAGAAAAATTTGGCAAAGCAAGGACTGGGGCCTTAGTCATAGCCTCTTTTAGTTGATAGAAGGCATCCTCAGTGGCTTTAGTCCACAGAAAGGCATTCTTTTTTAGCATGTCGGTTAAGGGCCGAGCAACGATTCCATATCCTGCTATGAACCGGCGGTAGTAACCGGTTAGGCCGAGAAATCCCCTTAGCTCTTTCACGTTCTTGGGTTTTGGCCAACTTGTCATGGTCCTAATTTTCTCCGGATCTGCCGTTACCCTATGAGCCCCGATTATATGCCCCAAATAATTAACCTGTTCTTGAGCAAAGTGACACTTGTCTTTTTTTACCACCAACTAATTCTTTTTAGAATTGATAGAACAATTCGGACATGATTAAGATGCTCATTCCACCCTTGACTATATATCAAAATATCATCAAAAAATACCAAGATAAATTTGCGCAAATATTTCTCAAAAATTGAATTCATAAGCGCTTGAAAAGTTGAAGGGGCGTTTGAAAGTCCGAAAGGCATTACCATGAATTCATAATGTCTGTGGTGTGTTCGAAAAGCTGTTTTTGTGACGTCTTCTTCGCTCATTCGGATCTGATAATACCCCGAACGTAAATCGAGTTTAGTAAACCACTTGGCTCTATGTAATTCATCTAACAACTCTTCGATTACTGGAATAGGAAATTTGTCTTTGACTGTCAACACAAAACTGCCATGACCCATCATGTTTTTTACTAAGAGTACGGGCGACGAAAAAGGGCTTCGACTTGGTCGAATAATCCCTTGCTCCAACATTTCTGAAACTTGACGCTCGATCTCTTGTTTCTAAAAATGCGGATAATGGAATGGGTGAACACTAATTGGTCCACTACCCGGTTGAAGGGGTATGTAATGATCCTGCTCTCGGTGGGGAGGTAATCCCCTGGGGATTGTGAAGACTTCAGGATAGCCTTGTTAAAGTTGTATCCATTCCACCGACTCCGCCTGGGTATTTGTCTCTGCACTCACCAAAGAAATTTGTAAAAGAGTTCCCTTACCACTATTATGTCGAAGAGCTTTGGTGAAGGCTTTCTCTTTGATTAATTGAGCTTCCAGAGTCCTTATGCCTTGTAAAGTCACCACACCTTGGTATGTCTTGAACTTCATAGACATGCTCTTGAAATCCCATAGGATTGGCCCCAACGTTTGGAGCCATTGGGCACCTAATACTGCATCACAACCCTCCAAAGCAAGCAACAAGAAGTCTACATGAAGGGAGCTATCATGGAGAACCAGGGGTACACGGCGGCACATACCTCTACTTTGCAACTTCTCCCCGCTAGCCACCATAACTCGTAGGGTAGGTCCTGGCTCGATGGGCAACCCCAGAGATTGAGCCACTTTCTCGTGCAAGAAATTATGGGTAGAACCCGAATCTACCAACATGGTAATGCTCGTTCTGGCAATTTTGGCGTGAACGCGCATCATCTGTGGTATAGGGACTCCGGTGAGAGAGTGGAGCGGGATTTCAGGTGGTTCATCTTCTACGACAGCCATGGTCGCTGATAAGCCAATTTCATCGTCGACGATAACATTGTCATCCTCTTGTTCCATCTCTATAAGGAAAAGCTTTTTGCAATCGTGCCTTGCCGTAAATGGTTCATCACAGTGGAAGCAAAGGCCTCGGCGGCGCCTCTCTTGTAGCTTGGCTTGGGTGAATCGCCAAACGTTGGTGGTCGGCGTAGTTAATGCGATCGAATTAGCCGCCGAACGCACCCAAGGGGACTGGCTGCTTCGAGTCAGATCTCAAATCGGTTCACTAGGGCTCTTTCGCTGGATTTGGGGTGGTCCTCCTAATCGTGTATTGGGCTCTTTACTGGGTCGGCTATCGAAGACCTTGGCAAGCCCAATTGCTTCGTTCAAGTTTGAAGGCCGTTGTGCTTGAACGTCTGCTCGTAAACTTTCCTTCAACCCACTGAGGAATGCTCCTACTTCTTAAGCATTCGTGAGTGATCCCGCCTTGGCGAGGAGACAATGGAATTGCACTTGGTATTCTCTGAGGGTACTTGTTTGTTTTAGCTTACAAAGATCAGCAAAAGCATTCTCAAAAGCAGACATCCCATACCTTTTGAGCAGCCCATCCTTTAGATCATCCCATGATAAATTTCTTGCCGACTGTCGGAGTCGCTGAAACCATAGTTGAACATCCCCCTCCATGTGGTAAGCTGCTAAGCGTATTTGATCTTCAGGAGAAGTGTCCTGAAAATAAAAAAACTGCTCAGCGCGACAGATCCAAGCAGTTGGATCCTCTGAGCCGTCATATTTTGGAAAGTCTAATTTCGCCAGCTTTGGGATGATATTCCCGCTTGTTGCTTCCCCTTCCGTATTCCTCTGAAAGGGCATGTGTCTACTGGCAGAAGCCTCATATCTGACGTGGGACATTTCCGCCAACTGTTTCATTACTTGTTCTAGTCCAACGCTCAAGCTTGCGATCTGCTACTCCAATCGAAGTAAGTCGGGATTACGCTGGTCGTCGGCCATGGCTGGCTCTGATACCAAACTGTTATAGTCCCCTGCGGATCCACGGCCTCGGCCTCGTCCTCGGAGCTGGGTGGTATGCTTGCGAGCTATCTTTGAAATGGAAAAGAACAACAAAGGGGCGATGTATGCTATTAAGCGATACAAACAAATAAATTGATTTGAATAGTTATCCTTTATCTACATCTGGCAGCCAATAAATAGGCTCAAAAACCAACGTTACAATGAGATAAATTAGCAACTAACTATCAACATGTAGAAACGTGTTTGACCGAATCAAAAGGAAATTAAGTAACAATCTTTTATTAAAATATAGACCAAGTCTTCAACGAAAAAGAAGTCCACGTTCCAAACATGCAATTGAACACGTGCAGACCAATACGTGGCATATGATTGTAACATTCGTAGTCTCATATAAGGTCGGCAATTCGTGTTGTGTCGTGTTTACTTTCTCAGTTCACACTATAAGACATGAAACGAACATGACCCATTTATTATTCGTGTCAAAGTACAAAACTCAAACACACCCTGTATATTAGCATGTTGACACGACACGGCTAACCTGTTTATCAAACGGGTCATTACAGTGTCGTGTCAACATGTGTTAAATGGGTAATAATTGGGTCGTGTGAACAAATGGGTAACAAATAGGTATTATTAAATAGCCACTATCAGTTAGTGGATGGATGCTACTTAACTGATTTTTGAATAAGTCAAATATCATATCCCTAATTAGGGGGGTTCTAGGTCAATAGAAGGGGATGCATATCCCACGTATCAATCATCCATAATATCTGATTCAGAAAAAAATCACGACATATTTTTCTCTGCTCTCATTTCTCTGTTGTTTTCTCTCACGATTATTTTTTAATGCAGGTTTTGAGTTGTGGAACCTTGCGAGCGTTCTCGTAATTCTCGCACACTATGAGCGTAAGAGTTCGATAAGCAAAACTGTTGGGAGCTTTGGGATGATATTCCCGCTTGTTGCTTCCCCTTCCGTATTCCTCTAAAAGGGCATGTGTCTACTGGCAGAAGCCTCATATCTGACGTGGGACATTTCCGCCAACTGTTTCATTACTTGTTCTAGTCCAACGCTCAAGCTTGCGATCTGCTACTCCAATCGAAGTAAGTCGGGATTACGCTGGTCGTCGGCCATGGCTGGCTCTGATACCAAACTGTTATAGTCCCCTGCGGATCCACGGCCTCGGCCTCGTCCTCGGAGCTGGGTGGTATGCTTGCGAGCTATCTTTGAAATGGAAAAGAACAACAAAGGGGCGATGTATATGCTATTAAGCGATACAAACAAATAAATGGATTTGAATAGTTATCCTTTATTCCACATCTGGCAGCCAATAAATAGGCTCAAAAACCAACGTTACAATGAGATAAATTAGCAGCTAACTATCAACGTGTAGAAACGTGTTTGACTGAATCAAAAGGAAATTAAGTAACAATCTTTTATTAAAATATAGACCAAGTCTTCAACGAAAAAGAAGTCCACGTTCCAAACATGCAATTGAACACGTGCAGACCAATACGTGGCATATGATTGTAACATTCGTAGTCTCATATATTTGTGTAGTTGAAACCGATCGAAATTAATTGTATAAGGAATACCGAAATGAGAATGATGATAATTAGGAAGTACAAATTCGGAAGAAGAAAATTTCAACTGTTTTACATCGAAGTCTATAATAATTAACATACTTGACATGATCATTGCAATAATTCCTCTTGTATCTTTGCTATCCATAGCTATTTTCTCTCTCTTTTTTGTTCAGCGAAACTCCAAAGTAGACAAAAGTAATTTTATATTGTTACTCTTTATTTGAAATCTATGTGTTTGTGTGTGTGTGTATATGTTTAGATAACGAACTTTTAATATTGATTGCTTAATTTGGATTCTACCTTTTAATTGAGTGCAATGTCTAGCAACGGTGACTAATTAACTCATGTCTTGTGCTTCTTTAGAAAGAGTTGGATAATCCTTGAGGTCATTAAGAAATCTAGTTGTACTTATTCTTGACTTTTGGATTATTTTTGGAGCAAATGAGTCCATACAAATATTGACAAATTTAGTATTGCTTATCAAGCAACAAGTCGGGCATAAGAAACAACATAAGAGTTCATGTAAATGGTTCTACTAACTGGCAAAACATGCATTAGTACTTGGTCATTGCTCTTTAATTCCATCGCTTTCAATCAGATTGTATCACATCATTTAAAAATTTAAAATATATTTTTTTTATTTTTCTTTGTTTTGATATTTAGATCTATTAAATGACGTGTCCTATTGTAATTGGTTAGACACTAATTAAGACACTAAAAATTGAACAACATAGTTGATAAAAAGGATTCTTGAGGTCGCATGATCCCTAGACTCAATTCACATAGTTGTGCGGGCCAAACCACACCCTTAATTGATCACTCAAGAATTGCAAGACAATTCATATCACTGTTGTATTTTCATTGTTACTTTTTCACTCAACCTGAACACAACCTATAACACGAAAATTTTGAAAATTATAACACGACCACTTTACGGATTGGCATGACAGAACACGAACATTTTGACCCGTGAACCCGAGATTGACACAAAAATTATAGTCTTTTTTTTTTAGTTTTCTACACATTATAAAGAACATAAAATTCATAATCCATTACAATATGATAACATCCATCAAAATTAAGCAAACAATAACATAAAATTTTGAGAATAACAATCATAAGATTACAAGTTCATAACAAAGTGCGAAAGATGTTCTTTAGAAAATATTTTTATAAGTTTCACATCATGTTTGAGTTAAGCGGGCCCAATCAAAATTGACCTATATTTTTCGTATCAATTTCAAAAGTCGATCCAAATCCGACTCATAACACATATTTTCTAACCCTAATCCACGATAATTCATGTCGTTTTCGAGTTATATTATCGTGGTGTGATCCGTATTGACGGCCCTATATGTGAGATCCACTAGCTTTTGGATTTTATTTTTAAAAAAATAATAATAAGATCAATATATGGGAACTTTCAAAAATGTCATCAATAAAGTAACACTATTTTATTTCTACCACTATTGTTAAATTTATCTTATGTCACTAATAACATGTAGGTTATCAAGTTATCTTTTATAAACTGCGGGTTATCTTTCATAACCTAAATGTTATCTTTCGTAACCTGTAGGTCATTACTTCGTATCTTGTAGGTTATTTTTCGTAGTAGCACCAAAATTTTGTGTGGTGACACAAATATAGTTAGAAAAAACAATAGTTAAATTTGAAATTTTCTCTATCATGTTGCTATAAAAGAATAATTATTAGTAATAATTAATTCCTTATTTTGCAAATAAACTTTGATTAATCAAAACGTTTCTAAACCTCTCGATCCTTGTAGCTCTCATCTCTTTTCCTTAACCCACTTAAGGATTTGTTTAACATTTTTAAAAACATGAATTTCAATATCCTTCCAATCACAGAAGATGAAACACAAATATATATATACACACATACATATATTTATAGAAGTATTTCAACCATTAATGATGCCTACGTCCACTGAACTACTGTATTCTCTGATATGTAGTTGCACCCGATCAGAAGTCGGTGTCTAAGGAATACCGAAATGAGAATAATGGTTATTGAAAGTACAAATTCAGAAGAAGAAAGTTTCGTCTGCTTTACGTCGAAGTCTAGAATTAACATACTTGATACATGATCATAATTATCATTGCAATAATATGATTTTCATAAGATTTATGTATAATATTGTATTTTGATTAGCATGAACCTCATATTTAATTATTTTTGACAATATGAAATATATACTTTTTCATCTCGATATTTTTTGGAATTATATCATGTTACATATCTATATGTATGATAAGCATAAAATCAAAACTATGATGTAATTAATTTTTATTGAAGTACAAACTAATATTGTCAAAGTTTCATCATGCAACCGAAAGTTTGACGTACAATAATTACACATAACTACACCACCCATTCACGTAGAGGGTTGTACATGATTGAAGAGATCAAGAGAAAAGCTATAATACACCTTTATGGCTTGATCCTGATCAACTCTCTCCCGCGCCTCTCGCAAACTTCTTTCTTCTTCCTTTCCTCCTCCGAAAGTCTTTGCCTCTCACGTTCTAATTCCTTCTCACGAATCTCTTGTTGCTCACGAAGTCTTTGCCTCTCGCGTTCTAATTCCTTCTCATGAATCTCTTGTTCTAATTCTTTCTCACGAATCTCTTGTTGCTCACGGAGTCTTTGCCTCTCGCATTCTAATTCCTCCTCACGAAGCTTTCGCTTCTCGCGTTCCTCCTTGGCACAATGTTCTTCTTTGCATAGCCTATCTTCATGACTAAGGCATCGAATATATTGAAAAGGAGTATCACGCGCAAGGAGACATTCATGACGAGCCTTCTGAGTGCATTCTCTGATATGTAGTTGCACCCAATCAGAAATTGTTGTATAAGGAATACTCATGAAATGAGAATAATGATTATTGGGAACTATAAATTCAGAAGAAGAAATTTCCATCTTCTTTGCGTTGAAGTCTAGAATTAACATACTTGACATATCATAATTATCATTGCAACAATTCGTCTTGTATTTTTGCTATAAGTAGCTACTCTTCTCTCTCTGGTATGTTCAACGGAACTCTAAAGTAGACAAAGTTTTATATCTCGGCACAAGTACTATTTATTTGAAATATTTATATATATATATATATATATATAGATTATGAATTTTTAATTATGATTGCTAAAATAAGATTATACCAGTTAACATAGTGTAATGTCCACCAATGGTAACTAATTAACTCATGCCTTTATGTTTCTTAGAAAGATAAAATAACCCTTGAGGTCATTAAGAAATCTAGGGGTGTGCTAATTTTATTGACTTTTGGAATTTGGAGTATGTATATGGCTTTGGTTAAAACGCACATCTAGCTAATTAATGACTAGTAATATCTCTGGATCTAATGTGCAACTAATTTATTCAAAAGACAAAAAAAAAAAAAAAATTATAATCCTAGTTGGTGCTTGCAGAATAAAGATTGCAATTTATATAGAGGAATAAAATAATAAGCAAGCTGTGATGTCTATTGAAAATAACTGAAAGGTAAAAGTTTGTGATGTTCGGATTTATTAATAGGTAAAATAATAAAACTAGCTAAAGTAATAAGATATGTGTCTGTACCAGTAGCTGAATCCATGCATGCCAATAAGGTTTTTATTGTGTCGCTTTAGAAGTAGCTAAAGCAATGAAACATGTGCCTTTATAAGTAGCTAGATTCATGCATGCCTGGTTGATAGTCATTATTCATTAAGGCTTTCTTTATTATAATAATAATCACGACGATGATGATGTTGATAATAATAATAACAACAACAAAAAACCCCTTCAAAATAATCATTCAATGTACCTAATTCAAGTCAATTGTGTAAACTAAGCTATTTATTATCATATGTTCTGTTTTGCGGTTTTAAACTTCTACAAACTGCTCACCAAATAAATTGAAAAATTCCAAACCGATCAAACAGAAGCAACTTCTTGAAGAAAAACAATCAATTTTGGTTTGGTCAATTATCGAAGTTTTGTCGGTTTTTAAATCTGCCAGCTAGAACAAAACATTGAATGCTCTATTACTCTATGAACTAATGCTATCATGGTAAGACAAATAACACAACGATCAAAAATCTGTTCATAGTCCTACATATTGAACATTTTCTTCACTTTTCACCTATATACAAACAGGCTGATAAAGCCGAGGAAATGATTAGATTTCATACAAATAACCTCCATTGGCTACAAAATTATCAGTTACCTAATTGGTGTTTAGTCGCATTGGTATCTCCCACCATAAACCCGCTACATCGAAAAAGAAAAACTACACAAACAGCACCAAAATATCCCCATCAAAACCTCTAAAGCAGATCTGCAGGAAGAGAAGCAGGATCAAGCTCCCAACAATCTTTCGAAAGTTCTGGAGCCTCATCGCCAGAGAGCTTCCTTGCAGGAATTTGGTGCGAGAACAATCGAATATCATCTTTCTCTAGCCACCTAATGGCATGGGAACCAATTTCGCGTCTCTTGAATATCGTCTTAAACCCGTCAACCTTCTCAAGATACGCCATGCTAAGACCGTGCATCTCACTGTATGTTGTTAAGAACACAACAATGTCGTAGCGCCTTCTGTCCCTAACAGAAAGGTTTCTTCCTTCTCTGCTAAAAGTTGACTCCTTATAAAGTGCCCAGATAGAGCCTTTCTTCGGATAAATCCTAAAAACCTCCCTAGCTGCTCTTTCACAATCCACAGCATGAGAAAAGATATTCAAAGAATTAATAGAAGTTTTCCTAGAAACTTTAAATCTCCCACAAGAGAGATGAAACCCCATTCTCTCCCAGCAACGTAGTCCCTCATCTCCACTACTCTGAAGATCCAACCAACTTAGCTTCACCTCAAAAGGATTCACAGAAACAACGTCATCGATCAAACCATAATTTCTCGGCATCCCATCATCGTCACTGTATATAGCCCAGACCTGTCCTTGCTTGAAGCTTCTCTCAACTCTGTCTTTATCAAAATCATAAAAATCGGAATCCTCCACCGCCATTATCTCTGTATCACTATCTCTTGACCCTCTACACCTCTCTAATCCTGAACGCAAACTCTTCTTCGACGCCGCAGGGTTTACCAATTCTAAATCCTTACTCTTCTTTAGCACCGAGTCTCTCTCAGCCACCAAATTCCTGTTGCGCTTTGGAACCTCACGCCTCTCTTTCTCCTGTTCTCTATGCTTCTCCTTCTCCACCTTTTGTTTCTCATTCTCCTTCTCCTTTTGATTCTCCTTCTCCCTCTCCTTTTGATTCTCCTTCTCCCTTTCTTTCCTCTCCTCCTTTTCTTTATCCTTCTCTTTCCTCTCCTTTAACTTCAATCTCATCCTTTGCTCCCGAGCTTTTTGCTTGACTTGAGACTGAAGCTCGGCTAGTGTCATTGTCCCTTCATCTATTTTGACCCTCTTCGGCTCAGACCTCTCCATGATCTCCCCAACACTACTCATTCTCTTCCTCAATCTCCCACTACTCCATTCTCCACTACTGGCTTCCTTCTTCAAATCTCCAATTTCTTTTTCACCTTTCCTCTTCAATTCCTCAGTCTTTGCCCTTCCCTTAGACTTTTCACTACTGACCACTCTTCTCCCCGATCGAACGCCACCAATTTTCAGGTTAGAAATTGAAGGGCTTATTCCCTCACCATCCCCTGAACTCCTCCTCTTCGGTCTCTCACTTCTAGCCCCAACAGTATTAATCCCATCTTCCCCACCACCATCTTCATCAGTCCCAACCTCGACGGCCTCGAAGCTTTTTCTACAACTCGGGCAAACCAAATTATGCCCCAAATACTTCCTCTCAAACTGGTGCAACAGCCGGCACGTCGAACACGCAGTCCAAAACGTATCCCCCCTAACAGATTCCTCGCTTTCCTTCATTTTCTCATCCTGAATCTGAATCCTGAGCTTCATATCATACTCCTTGCGCCTAATTTTATCCGAAAGGAATCGAAACGCCTCATTGACAAGCTTGAAGGCCTCCTCAGAACCAACATGGGGGTTCTTATCCGGGTGTAAAAGGAGAGCAAGCTTCTTGTACTGCTTCTTAATGGTGTTGAAATGGCAGAATGGCTCAGCCTGAAGGATCTTGTACCACTCGGGTACCGCGGTAGATTTGGAAGCCGCACGCAGGATGCCAACGGAGGTGACCATCGCGGAGAGGCCATCGAGATTCGGGCAGAGGCGTAGGGCCCGCTTCGCATATTTGAGAGCTAATTTGAGCTTGTTGTCCTTGTACTTGGCCTCTGCTAGAGACTTCAGCCGCTGAGCTTCTTCCTCTCGTTCTTCTTCTTCCCCCATTCTTGTCTATTTGGTTTACTATGCAAAAGGAAATAATCTTTTTTATAAGTAATTAACTTTACAGTAGAATGGAACTATATCTCTGCTCAATTTTAACAGAAAGGAAACTCAAGATTATAGATTTTTCCCAATTCCCCTTCAAAAACAATTGAACAAAGTGGCAATATATCATCATATGATTCATATCCCAAAAGGGTGTCATTTGCTAGTGTCAATAGGTCCACCAAAACAAATCTTGTTCCTAACCCAGAAATTAACATTTCACACAAAATTTGGTAAAAAAAAAACAAAACAAAAAAACAAAAACAAAAACAAAAAGAAAGAAAAACAAAACCATTTTCAGAAATTCTTGGAAATTAAATCACTTGCATTTCAATCTTACCTCCTCATTTTTAAAATTTAAAACAATACCTAAATACATTACAAAAGCCCCGAATTCTTGACTTTCATGCATAATATAACAACAAGAATATTTGAAATACAAATTCAACATCAACATTCCTGAAAAACAAACAAATAATATAAGAAATGCATAAAGCTTGAAGAGAGTGTGACAGATACGAAGAAGGTTTGAAAATAATAGCATCCGACATGCAATCAAGAAGAGAGCAGACATAGCCATAGACATACCTGGTAGAAGCCTGAGAAAGGATATATATATATATATATATATAGAGAGAGAGAGAGAGAGAGAGAGAGAGAGAGAGAGAGAGAGAGAGAGGGAGGGAGAGGGAGAGAGAGAGACGGTGGGCAAGTGGGTCGGCGTTTGGGGAGAGAGAATGACAGAAGCTCTGGTCCGATAGTCGATGAAAAAGCACAGATAAGAATGAGCGAGACAGACAGAAATAAGTTGGGCCGTAGAAGTAGACATCGTCTCTGCTAAAGGAAAAGCGACAATGAAATTAAGCGACATGTCGTTAAATGAGAACGATGTTGAAATTAAGCACCATGTCTTTTCCTTTTTTTTTTAGGTAGTGTGAGTGTCGTTGTGTTTAGAGGTGGAAGAAAATAGATGTCGTTTTTCGGTATCTTTGTAGTATAAATACACATATATATTCCGAGTAATTCTGAAGTAAATTTTTTTTTTTTCAATGCAGAAAAAAAGTGCTTTGTATTAGCGGGAAGCAAACTGCAAAAGCTGAAAATTATTAGTTCTTTTTTTTTTTTTTTGCTGGTTAAAATTGTTTTTTTTTCTTTTGTTTACTTGAGAAACTCCTCCTCCTTAATATTTGATTATTCGATTCGATTTAGGCCCCGTTCATTTCGCTAATTTGAGTTTAGAATTCGAGTTTTGCTACAGTAAAAAGCTCTCACAAACAATCACATCTAACTTTTTTGCTACAGTAAAAAGCTCTCACATAAAATCACATCTCAACTCGAATTAAAAACTCGAATCAGCGAACTAAACAGGCCCTTAGACTAGTCATGGACACTTAAACCATGAAAAAATAGCAGAATACTCTTATAAGATGAGGAGAAATAGAAAGAAGTATGAACATCAGGTGACAGCAAAAATGAAATGCTAAGGAGAGAATTAAACCAGTGCAATCATCCGATGGCAATAATGAGGATACGATTAAAAATGCTTACCTCTCGCTCGTAGGGCATCAAAGAGCTGCTGGCGCATGCTTATAATGCGGTCAGCCATAGCCTTCAACTCAATAGTCCATTCATTGTACAAATCCCTGTTAAAAAAAAAAGTTTTACGGTCATGGTTAAACATAAAATACACAGAAAAAAAATAACATGTAGTTAAGATGATATTCTCTTAGGTCAAATATTCAGAAAAAAAATCATATCATCTTATCATCTAGTCCATTATCAAGTTTTTTTCATTTACGTTCTTGTACAAATAAACCCAGTATCACATATGCATGCGAGCATAAGGCTTTGAGTAAAAGACTAATGGTTTCCAAAATAAAATATACCAAACACTGCTACCAGGCATCTGGACCAGTTTGCAATGGTTACCTGTCCTTGAGGATGATAGCCACAATAGATGCACCATGAATGGGTGGGTTAGAATACATGGGTCTTATCACGAGTTTCAGCTGGCTCTCCACCCTGCTTGCTACATCTGCCGTCTTACAGACCTATGTAAAAGTAGAATATTATAATAGACAGTAAAGTTTAGACAAAATTGAAGAGTAGATCAACACACGTATTAGGGAGAGAAAAAAAAAAGGAAAGAATCGTTCAAATACAGACATAGCACCCGAATAAATTGAACCAAAAAATACAATTTACTATGAGGGAGTTGATCTATTGAACATACAATACTTAGAGCGCCAACACGTTCCCCATAGAGGCCCATGTTCTTGGCATAACTCTGAGCTATAAGGCATTCACCACCATCAGCAGCAAACAAACGAACTGGTTGTGCATCTGCATCCAGACTTCCACTGGCAAAACCCTATAATAATACCAAAGGAGAGAGAGAGAGAGAGAGAGAGTTAAATAGCAATTGTGTCCATGCTAAAGAAAGCATTATTCAGCGAAGTGGAATGCCAAGCTGCTCAAATGTACGCTAGCAATGTACCTGATAAGCACTGTCAAAGAAAGGCAATAATGCTTTTGATCTAATCAGCTGCCTAATCTGCTCCCACTGTTCAAGGGTTGGATCAACACCAGTAGGGTTATGAGCACACGCATGCAGCAGCACAATAGCTCCAGAAGGAGCAGAACCAAGGTCTTCTAAGAGGCCTGGTAATCACATTAAAGGAATATCAAAACACAGAACCAAAGACTAAAAATTAATCAAGTTATGTACCACAATCATACGAGTGCTGGACCACATGGAATCACAATAAGAAGGTGAAACAAAACAAATTGTATACTTCACCTTGGAAATTGAGTCCGCGTGTCGCTGGATCATAATACTGGTAGGTTTTCACAGATAATCCAGACAGTGTGAAAACTTTTGTGTGGTTTCCCCATGTTGGCTGAGGTATGTAAATTGTGCGCTGCAGGGAAACGCAAACAACGTCAAGTTTTTCTATATATCTAACGGCTTTATTTAACGGCCAAAAAAATGAAAGAAAGAAAGAAAGAAAGAAGCTGAAACAGTACGTACTTCATGATAGTGTCTTGCTAAAAATTCACCTCCAACTCTCAACGAGCCAGTTCCAGACAAACATTGAACAGTAGTAACCCTGTTCTCTTGGATAGCAGGGCTATATCGAAGCAAGTAAAAGGATGATTAATTAAAAGAAAAATGAGCTAAAGATCAAGCATGAATAAATTGGAACTATTTATCCAATCAAAGCATACGCCTGTTATACCTGTCAGCGCCAAGAATGAGTTTAGCACTCAATTTATTGAAATCCGCAAGTCCAACAATTGGAAGATATTCCTTAACACGTGAACTGCAAGTCATGTAGATTAAGAATCATTAACTACTTCATACAGAGTTCGAAAGTGCAAGGGCCTGCAGATAATATTGCTTACACGTCATTAACAAGCTGCTGTTCTGCTCGTCTCACCACATTCAGGACAAGAGGTTTCCCTTCCTATTAAGCCATGAATGAACATCAGAAATTTAACAACAAATCATCTCAAGTCTAACATTATTAAAGCCTGACTCTTCTGGAACTGGAAATTAGGATACTCGAAATTATAGAAATAATAACACAGTGACCAACTTCCCTTTAACATACTCGCACAAATTACAACGTCAGCTGCTACTAAAATCGCAGGAGGATTTAGAATAATAATAATTTACATGAATTCTTAGCTTCTTTTTTTTTTCCTTTCTAGATGAAACTGAATTAACCATATTCACCACGTGTCCTGTAACTAGATTAAATTTGCCATTAGACAAACACACTCACACATTCAAAAGCATCTAATGTGTATGTTAGATGCCAATATAAAGAAGCGGATACCAATTTAACTGTCCATAATGCTTCACTCTGCACAAAATGATCAAAAATGGTTCTGTAATTCTGAACAAAACACTAACCTCTGTTCTATAAGCACCAACACCCAAATTCAATTTAACCGGGCTTGGATCTTTGTTATATGCAACTGTCACCTGTTCCAAAATTTCAAACGGCATTTGTCAAGATAAATAGAAGGATAAAAGGGAAGAGGTCAAAGTCAAAATGCACAGGCTCCAGAGAGAATTCAGAACCAAAAATGGGCAGTGATGGGATTCAAGAGTAGTTCCAAAAAAAGGTCCAAAGCGACGATTTATTTATGCACAAAAAGAGCGTGATCCACAAAAATGCTTGCTTACCTACAGCCAAACACACCGCATAGGCCTGGAAAAGGTCACCACTTAGCTCAAAGGAAATTTTTTATGCACACAACGACTAGGGCCAAAGAAACTATCTAAATCGATCACAAAACAGGATCAAGGTTTTTTTTTTCTGAGAATTTGATAAAATTGATGGGCAAAATACTAGTTCATTCTAATGGTTAAAGGACAACATTTCTTTTACGCTTAATACTTGGCACCTAATAATCCAAAGAAAATGGAACACGTTTTCATCCCAGAAAAGCAAATTTATTTATCATGATTTAGGACTCAATAATTTAGAAACCTAGGATTAATCAAATCCCCCAAGTTCGGCTTAGCTTCAGCTCATTAAAAAATTTCGTATTTATCAAAAGAATATAACCAAAAACCTAGGATCAATCAAAGAAATTTGTATTCATATATTCTCTGATGAGATGTCTCACAAAAATTACCAGTTTATGATCATCGATCGCGATCCTCGAAAACTGATTTTTTTTTTTAAATAAAACAAAACAAAAACGAAAACGAAACTTTCTTCTGATTAACGCATCGACATCCATTAGCCAAAAGAAGATTATGAATCCGACAAAACAAATCATAAAAAACAAATAAACAGAGCTTTCAATTCATAACTAGTGATGAAAACTAAAACTAATCACAACGTGCCGTGTACGTTTTCTGTGATTGTTCCGTAGACTTAAATGAACCAACTGAATTGAGAGAGAGAGAGAGAGTACCCCAAGAATAGGATCCTCCGGAGCACGAACGATGTGAGCAAAGACGGAATCGCCATGGAAGGCGGAAGTAGGAGAAGCGGAGATGGAATCCATGACGGAACTCGAATTCTCAACGAGAAGGTGTCGAACTAGAGTGTTTAACCTCCGATCAGTTGGTGAAGAAGAAGAAAAAGGAGGGGGAAGAGGAGAAGAACTGTGGGCGAGAGGTGATGTAGACCGGGGGCGCATTTTAGCGGCTTCCGCTAGTTTCCCAAGCTTAAAGTGCGCGCTTTTTTTGGGTAACTTTTTAATTTTATTTTTTTAATTTTTGCATTCTTGGTTTTCAATTGGTAACTGGTTTTTATACCTTAACAGGGACGGTTTTCCTTACGCGGCGAGTCATAGTTGCGGTTTCTTTGCTGATGTCATCTTACGTGGACTCCTTATCCCTTCATTTGAGTTTTTCATTTTTCATTTTTTTTATTATTTTTTTGGACGTACGTACTCTTTGTGAGATTTTTTTTTGGGTAATGTCAAACAAGTGTAATACAAATACAATCTCATATAACTAAAAATAATTTAAGATTGCTTCTCAACTTCTTGTGAATTTTTATTAGTTTTGATGACCATTTAACAACTTAATTTTAATATACTTTCGTGGATAAAGAAAGTTTAATATGCGGACAAACATTAATGTTAGTATGTCTAGTCTTCTAATAATACGAGGAATTTTTTACATGGTTGTGAGACTTAATTTGTTAATTTAAATTTTTAATTTAAATTAAAATGTCATTTTATTAAAAAAAATTTATTGTCACGCGAAATTACAGTAATGACGTAGAAATGTCAAGATCGGTAAAGCTTATATAACGAGGACACGTGGCACAATATTCCTGGAAGTTAGCTTCGGTGTGTTGGCACGTGGATCAAGGTAGAGTTATGCAAGCCTGTAGCCTGTGGGCTGACTGTTTTTCTGGCTGTTTTCAGAGACTGATATATTGATGTGAAATCATGCGTGGCTTCGAATGGGAAGGGCTCGTGAACCGATGATTGAGGTGTCAACTGTCAAGCAATTGGGCTTGATGGGCTGGTATAGGTGTGGATCACAATTCACAAAGCCCGTAAGGGAGATTACGCACACCTTGATTGTGGCTGGGCCCAATAAGCGTCGAGACTCGAGACTGTCAGCTTACCTAGTTGATTGTGGAAAGGTGGGTGGCCTAAGGTAAAATTGAATTACAATGATTTATGGTATTCTAAAGCGTATTGTATTGCGTCTTGTGGTATTCTCACAATACAAACGGGTGTTTGTCTCATAAAATATGATGGAAATGCACCATAAAATTTTATTGTATAGATTATCCTTAGATTACCAAAAATTATAGTTGTTTACGTCTCGATTTCAATTTTAATCTTATATCGTCTTTTATCCTGATTATTGATCCAGTCTGACCTGACTTTTGTATTCTAATGTCACTTTGATCTAAATCATGTCCTTACACTGGTTTAACCTTAATTGAGTTCCATCCCAACCATGACTCAATCTCGTCCCTGACTCGACTTAATCACAACCTCAACCTTGAGATATGTGAAGGGAAAAAACATGAGAGATAAACTTAAAAGAACAAAATAAAATTATAAAAAAAAA